AATATAAGCAGCAGAAGAATCATTCTTATTTATAATAATATCAGAAAAGTTCAAAACAAATAGTCCATGATCATTATATCCTTTTCCAATAAATACATTATTTTTATTCAACACAACCTTGTCTGCTTCAAATGTGGGATTCAGTCCTACTTTATTGGGGAGTGCTTATGATACCAATTTTTGTTTGATTTCTAGCACATGTAGCACATCATTCAGCACCAGGATTTTTCCCGAAGTCAGTTTCAGGAGCACATTTTCTTTGCCAATGACATTCGAAGTTTGTGAGTTCCCCATGAAGACTTGCTCTCCCTTAAATTGAGTTGTGTACTCATAGAGGGAGCTGCGGTCCCCACATATGTGCTTGGTAGCACTAGTGTCCAGTACCTACTCCTCCGGTTACCATGGCTACAATAACATCCTTAGTCAATTTGACTTTTTTTCCTAGAGTCTTTCTTCTTTCAGTACTGGTAGTCTTTCTTGTAATGCTCGGGTTTGCCACGTACATAGCATTTTCCTTTCTTTTGTTGCTTTTGAATTTCTGATCATTTTTTACATTCAGATTCTTTTTGAATTTTGTAGTCGTTTCCTCAACTAGATTGGTTTTGGAAATTTGATCCTCATCTTTCTTTTTGTACTTTTCTTCTATTTTAATTCAGACCACTACTTGATCCAAAGTAGTGTCATTCTCTTATGCTTCATACTTGTATTGAAATCATTTCATATATGTGATAATTTCTCCATGAGAGAACCAACAATAAATTCATCTAGCAGTACCATGCCTTCCTTGGCTAGTTCCTCCACAAGCACCTGAAACTCATCTATTTTAGAATACACGTCCATGTCATCTTTCATGGTGAAATGCAGGAAATTGGCAATCACATATTTTTTATTTCCAGCATTTTCCAGAGCATACTTTTTGTCGAATGTATCCCAAATTTCATAGGCAAAATTATAGAGAGTAGACATTGTACAGTTCATTGGATAAGCAGTTGAGGATATGGTTTGTGCAAAGGTGGTTGGCCATAGTCTAGTGTTCTGCAACAACTGAACGGGTTGGTTCCTCCATGTTTAATGGGTTTGGTTCAATCAAAGCAAATGCTACCCCTAACTATTATAAGGCAAATAGAAGGCGTTGTCTCCAATGCGTGTAGTTGGTTCCACTGAAATGTTCAATTTTTGAGAAATTGGGAACTGTTGACAGTATTCGGATTCTCATGAGAGGATTAGCAAAGATAGGTTCCATAAATGCAATTTTAAGATTGTTGGAAAATAGTAAAGAAGGCAAAATGGAACTTATCAGTAATCGTTTTCCAAACCGAGAACTTGCGAATCAGTAGCGTTGCAGAACTGTGAAACCGAGAACTTGTAGAGAGAAAGAGGGTTGAGTTGTGCCACTTGGTCACTCTCCACAAAACTGCATTTTCCCCCTACGGTGCAGCCGAGTGATTGCAAATTGGTTGTCAAGATAAACCAGCCCATAGGCCATTGGTAGGCATGCACTCGCTTACCAGACTTCCGTGAACCACAAGGTATGATGCTTAGAGAATAACGATTGACAAAGAAGAGAAGACTGTGTCGAGTACACGGGTGTGTGTTTCTAGGTCAAGCAACACTCCTTTTATAGAGTGTTCTCAGTCACCCGAATGGACACAGAAGCGTCCTTTCAGACAGAAGCCTATTCAGAATAGTGCATCTGGTCAACGAGACACAAAGAGGAAGAGACACGAAATAGAAAAGAAAACGTTTAAAAAAGATTTTGAAATTTTAAAGTCAAATCATTTAATCCAATCAAAACCAAAACGATTCAGTGTAGCGCACGTATACACGCACACACACCCATGCCCACACCTCGACCCAGCCCGACTCGACTTGGCGGGTGCGTGTGAAAAGGCCCCATTCGATTTTGGAAGATGGTTGGGCTGTTATGTTTAGGCTATGTAAAGCCAAAAGGCCCCATTAGAAATGACAGCAATAGCTATTTTGAAAGCAACCCCAATACGTCATATCTTTAAATATGTCTAAGGTGATATTGGAATGTGACAACATGCAGCTAGTTAAGAATCCGGATAGTTGGAGGGATACTATGAATAGAGAGATTTACTTTGTGGTCAAAGAGATGAAGAAGCTGTGTTCTAACTTTAATATTAATTTTGTCTGGGCCAGTAGATCTAGGGATAGGTTGCACATGAAATTGCAAGGAGAGGTTTAAATCAGTCCTTTTTTGTAGTTGAGATTCCTCTGTGGCTTTCTGATGTGTTAACGTCAGAAGAGAGGGTTAGGGTGGAGTCTTGTCTTGTTGATGAGTTTGTTCCTTTTTTTCCTTTAGAAGATGATCACTTTAACAAGAAAAAAAAGACAAGAAAGAAGAAGGAAACATATAGCTCATTTATGGCCACTTCCAAGTGCCCTATATAATAATAACTCATTTATGGCCTTTTCCAGGTGCCCAATTCCCACACTATACAACTTTTAGTTCCATAATGCCGTCACAAAGAGAGTACCTGGAGGGTGATTCTCCAATGTAGCCGGGCTTAGTAAGGGCACTCATGGACATGCACATTGCACAACCCAGATCCCAGCTTTAGTCATCCAAGGTGTTTCCTGGACTCCACAGAGCAGGTATATTTATTGCTGGCAATTATAGGGTCTAAGTTAAAGGGGTAGATTATTGTGGTTCTCCATACCTTAGCAATCAATTTGGAAAGGAACTCCTCTTAGCAATCAACATGAGATCTGGTTGCATGGAAAGGGAGGGCTGAAGGCATACCTCTTGGCTCTTGTGTCAGAGTGCTACAAGGAACACTGGTATTCTTCCCTTCAACTATTTACTCATGTTCTTGTAAGGTTTTCTAAGACCATTAGTTTGGTCTCTTGCTTTGTTTTGCTGAGCATTTAGAGTAAACATATGTAGGTTTTCAATGTCGGTTAAAAAAAACAAACACAAAAACAAAGGAATAGTGGGTGACAAATGTCCATAGATACAACCCATAAAAGGAAAAAAACGAAGTTATGAGTTAAGGTTGTGTTTGGTTTAAAGGAAAAGGTTAGGAAACCCATATAGCATTTATATAGATTTTCCAACCTTTCCCTACCTTTTGTTTCAAACCAAACATAGTGACAAGGATTATGGTGTCAAGTAAGGGATTTTAGTGTACTGATCAGATTCTTTAATGAGCCAACCCCACTCAACACATCATAATGTTCAACCCCTTCATTAGTTATTGGCTCAAAGAGCATTTCCTCCTTGGCACTTCTTTCAATTGGTTAAAATTTCAGCCAATCCCCATTTGTTTGAAATTGAATTGCGAGGAGCATTAAATGGGGCTGTTGAGCATCCTATCACGTAACATGGGGCGGCATTCACTTCCAAATTTAAATTTTCAATTTTGTATTTTTTGTATTTATCCTATCCTTGTATTTTATCCTAGAGAGTAGAGAGAGTTCTCCAAAGAAAAGGGAGAATGATGGTTCAGCCCAGGGTCAGAATTTGTAGGCCCCAAGTACAGTTGGGGTAGGTGCCAACCGGAAATTAATGCCAATTCAGGGTGGGCGGTAGTATACAGAGTGGGGGTTTTTAACATTTTAAATGTTTATAATTGTACAATAGAATTCAGAAATCTGCAGTGAATCTGTCCCTACTTTTCCGAAAAAAAAAACTCCATCTGTTATACATATTTAGTTTACTAAAAATACCTTTTCAAATCACTCGAACTGTGAGTGATAACATTCCTGGTATCGGAACCATCAACCCCACACACCATGCCAACTAAGCTCCACTCAATCGAACAATGGCAATTCTCTTAATTCCCCAACAATCTCAAACTTTCACCCAGCCCTCGTCAAGAATTATATATCTTATGGAGATTTCACATCGAGCTAGTGATCTTTGGATCTGGACTTACTGGCTATATATAGTGATTAGAATTTTTAATGTCCTACTCGACAACTTGAGAACAGCTCATCTAAAAACTCTGCCTATACAAATTGGGTGAAGCAACAAAGCTGTTTATGGGGTGGCTTCTCTCCATCCTCTGTGAATCAGTCATGAGGTGTAGTGGACCCTTGAAACACTCTATGCCTCCATATCCAAAACCTGCATCACTCAACTCAAAAGTTCATCTGCTTGTCTTGAAGAAAGATGGAGACTTATCTCCAGAAAAAAAAAAAATATATATATATATATATATATATATTTCTGATAACCTCTCGGCAGCCGGATCTCTTCTATCTGCTTCGGATATGATTCACTACATTCTAAATGGTTTAGGGGGCCGACTATGATGCATTTGTTAATTCACTACCTGCTTGTCTTGATAAGCCAGGAATTTTGGATAGAATTTCGACTTATTGTAGCTTCGATCCAACCTTCATGAGCCAACTACTCGGCAAAAGGATCTATAATGGACTTACTTGATCAGCTCTCCGTCGGCAATGGTGAAGATTTGAACATCTCATATATTGGTTCTTCCATAGTTCTTTACAATTTTCAAAGTTTATTATTCTTCATGTTCCATCGATTAGCAAGAATTTTCTAGATATTTTGAATTCTATCCTTTCTCTTGCAAGGACTGGAGAAGGGGATGCTCCCCTCCTACTATGTATTCGATAAAACCAAACTGATTGGTCTGAATACGTCAGTTCTGGTTCTATGATTTTATTCCAATTAGAATTGGGTTGGGACCGGTTCTGAACCAATTCAGATCCAAGGGCTCTTGGTTTTCTTGTAGTTTTTGTTACATTTTATTTCCAAAAGGTAAATAAGATAATTTTGGTTAAAGCACTTTGTTTATTAACATAATCATTTTAATTAAGGTTGTATCATCAAATTTATATCTGATGCTCGACCGTACGCCCACTTTATTTGTGGGCGTACGGTAACCTCTCAAATGCTCGACACGTTTACAGTTTTAAAGATTTTGTACTCGACACGTGTTCGATGCGTATAGATAAAGCAGAAACCGGCTACCCGTTGGACCGATGGACAAAGGCAGGTTGGCCTTGGGCAGAGCCCGATGGAGATGCTTGATCACCTCTCTCGAGGAGATGCTTGCCTACTCGGTTGCTCGGGGAGAGTCTCTTGTTCGAGATGCTTCTTCCCAAGTTCGAAGAGAGACTCTCCCTCTTCGAAAGAGCTCCTTGGCCTTTCGATTTTCCCCGTCGTTGCAAAGGGAGAACGAAGGAGGGCCTGTCTCCTCATCGAAGGAAGGTATCTTTCGTTTTGATGTCTCCACTTCGCGTAGATCTGATCGATGTTCCTGTTTGCGCTGCTGTTGAAGACGGAATATCTCGCTTCGACATTTTCACAGGCTACAGCTCGATTTCTGAAGGAGGTCACCTCGCGTAGATCTGATCGATGGCCCTGTTTGCTCTAGGGTTTGTTTTTTGGTGATGATCTGTGGGGTTTGCGGCACGGGAAGGTCTCATCGCCTCGGTGTCGGTCTCCACCACTGATAAGGAGGTCACCTCTTCCCAGGTCCCCAAGACAGAAAACGATCCTCTAGACAAGGAAATAGGTATTTGACCTTCAATTTGCTCTATACTTTTCATTTTACTATTGGTTTTTAATCTAATAATCTATTTACAGGAGTCATAGTCCTTATAGAAGTTACAGTCCTGCATATCGAAGCCGAAGGAGCTTGAGTAGGGATCGTGACCTCTCCATTAATTGAGTGGATAACGGAAAATACCATGAGGATTCTGCATCTCAAAGGTAGTTTTTTTCTTTCTTTCTTTGAGCCCATGGTGTTGTTTTGGAACATGGTTTGCCTGAGTCATACTTTGTCGTTTCTTGTAGTCCTCCATATAGGACCCGTGAGAAAATGTCTCCTGTTCATCATACCCACGAGAGAGATGAGGTTGATCAGTTTGATCAGGCATGCAATGGGCATCCAATTTATCAAAGGAAGGCCCATCAGAAAATGTCTGCATTGTCACCATCACCAGAAATGTCACGAAGTTCATCAGAAACTTCACCAAATCCACGGAGAATGAATCCCAGCGAAGATAGGTCTGTACTCTGTAGCATGGTATTGCATTAAAATGTCATAATGTTTATGCTCTTCTTTACTGACTTTGATATGCTAACATTTTATGTACTTCTCAAGGATGTCTAATGCATCTGACAGTCCTGTCAAGCAACTAAGAGATCATATTATTCATCATGACAATTCAGGAGCAAGTGAGGAGGAACTTATTCTCTACCGGTAGGATTGACATTGACTGTTCTGTCAATTTTGACTTCTTAGTTATATTAATTTTGTTTTATTCTTTCTTATTGGTTTTGGATTTCTAATATTTTAGGGATCATGGGAATACCATTTTTGATTCCTCACGAAAAATATCAAGGCATCATCCATAAGTGATGGTCTGAAAAAAACTCTTACAAAGGCTCTTAAGCAAGAAAGAATATTCCCCTGAAAGATTAGCTAGCTGTGGTTCTGTTGAAGGTTGGAGTCGTCCAGATGACATGCTGCCAAGGAAAAAAGACTGACAGAAAAAGGTATAGTCATTTCAGTTTTTTTGTTCTCTTTATTTATTTACTAATATTTGTGAAAAACCTATATGTACAAGTTCTGTAGACATATGACATCAAACTCCTCTGCAGTGAGAAAGCTTCAGTCAGGAACGATCATTCTGAAAGCCCTATTCAGCGGACATCACCAATGTTGGAAGAAGTTGTATATGGGTTAGGGAGGCTAAGGGGAGAAGGCTATATAATCGAGCATGCCCAGGACAAAAAACCATCTGTTTATGAACATGAAAAGATTCTTCTTTATATGAAGAGTTACAGAGACGATGTCTCAGAGAAGGTCGAAAAGCTTATGAAAAGAAGCATTCTCATTTGAGCAATATCGAGGGAAGTGACCGAGTTTACAAAATAGAAGTTCATAAATCATGGAAAAAGGTTGGTAGGAAAAGCCGAGCTGGTGTTTATGGTTCTGATTCTGAGGAAAATAAGAGGCACGGATCCAAATACATGGAAAGGTGAAAGCATAAGAGAGTGGATAGGAATTTCCTGAAAACTGGTGGCAGCTGAAAACTGGAAAAATGAGGATTTCCTGAGCTATTCTGTTGATGTGCAACTTTGTGCAGACCTTGCTGCTAGATTTTCTGGTAGTATTTGCTTTCCCTTAGATGGGAATTTGATTTAATTTTTTTGTAGTTCTTAACTGGGTCGATATGAAACCATCTTGTTGTTTATCACAATGGCTTCTTAAAGCTTTCAGTGGCATTAATTTATATGTTATGTTATATGGATTTATGTACTGTTGCTGGTAAAACAATAATGCCCCATTTAACATGGTCAATAAAATCTTATTGCCTGAATGTAGAACAATAAAACCTAAAGGTCTTGGCACTTTGTTTAAAATGAAGTTTATACTAAATTGGCTTTGTGGTTGATTGATAGATGAGTATACTGTCAACTAGATGACTTGGTTGAGCAGGGCCTTGTGCGGACCACTTATTGAACATCAATTTAGGTTTAGTATCATACATACTTCTCGGACTTCTAGAAGGAAAGACTCCAAACTCTATTGGCTAAAACTGTGTCTAAATACTTGTCTCTTTATATTGTATGATGATTTAGCCTCTTTATGGTGGCAATATGAGAGCTGTTCTGCGGACTTTGTTTTTAAAATTCATCAAGGTGATATAGGCACCCGACTCATACTGTCTTGATGTTGATGTCAGCTGTCAAGTGTCTCTGGATGGCGTCACCATGTATGCATACACTATATTATGTAGAAACTTAAGCACTTTTGCTCTGCATTTTTCGACTTGATAATATTGGCGTGTGCCATGAATCATTTATGCTGGTTAGTGATTGCTGGGTTTTGGTAAACATGAATTAAGCATGATTTTGTGGTGATTGATGGACTTGGCATTTTTATTATGGAAGGAAAATGAAGCAAGTATATTAATGTTACTTTGTGATCGTGCGAGATTTGACTATTTCTAGTTGGAGGACGATCCGGACTTTAGGTGGACAGTGAACTGGATCGGTCTGAAAAACAATCTATCATAGAACCCAGGGTAGATACCCGATAAGGTCGTTCCGATGCTTAAGTCAGTATGTTGTAAGTGCGAGTTGAATGCTTGAGAGCTTGAGTGCTAGAGAGTAGAGTAATCACGCGTATCTTTGCCTTGAGGGTTCAGTCTTTATATACTGGAGTAGTCGTGAGTCTTACGAAAAAGCTCTAGGATCTCTAAGGTGTGGAGATAAGGTTAGTTCTGCTTTCGAAAGAGTAGTACGTAGACAAGGCTTATCGTTTCACCTCTGACTCTGGCGGAGACGGGATGAGTCCTCATCGTGATCTTGGAAAAGTCGGGATCTGTTAGTTCATCGTGATTTCAAGTAACTTGGGGTTTGTTGGAGAGACCTCTAGAGTTGGTTACGTGGCGGTTCGGGTCATTAGTTCCGAGCTAGTACTTCAATTCTTTAGTCTCGAACTGGATTGGATGTCGAGGTGCCTCTACATCGAGGTGGGTTTTGGACTGAGGCGACTGAATACCTGAGCTCCAAATGTTGCAAACTAGGCTTGCTAGACTGAATTGTCATCCCTTGATCAGATCGCGTCCACATGTCTCCTTTTTGCTAGGTCGGGTAGAAAGTAGAATTGCTAAAAACATTGAGGGATCTCCTATATGGTTTGGGGTTGTATCAAAATTTCATTAGAAGGGTCACCCTTTTATTTAGCATTTGCTATTAGTGTATATTTTCTTAGGAAAGTGGCTATGGTGGTTATGGAGATCACTAGAGTTTGGGATTAGGAGAAAGCATGGGACATAGTTGGCATTTGGGACTCCGGACTTTCTTGGGACAGCTGAAGTGGCTGAACTGAAAATTTCGTTGCTTTGTCTTTTAGTGAATAAGTTTCTATATCCTTGAATATTTTATTATTATTTATTGACAAAGCAACAAGTGATTCAGTTTAGCAACTTTAGTCATTCTCAAATATCCACTTTGTATGGTATGCGCTGTTTTTTTTTGGTGAATATGGTATGTGTTGTTCTTTCTGCCCTTGAAAGGCCAATTCTGGTGCTATGTGCCCCCAATTAATGATATATGTTATTGTTTGGTGAAATGGAGGTAGATTTTGGAGGGATCTTGATAGGGAGAAGTTTTATGGTCTTACCAGTATTGTCAGACCTGAACCAGATTGGACAGTTGAAATTGAGCCTTCTGATTCCAGAATTTGGGTGGTTTTGAGTATTTTGACAGGCTGAGAATTACAATATTGGTCAACCTGGTAAACCAGTGATTTTGCGAGTTTTCTGGTCTTTATGTCTGCTTCGTTAATAACACCGTCTGGGAAATACCCTGGACTGTTTTTTTGGGTAGAGAGATGCCTTTGGCTTTATTTTATTTTCCAACTATAAATGAAATTCTGGTTTTGTGCCCTAATTGAACTTTTCGCCCTAGTTGTGTCCTTGACGAAACTAGTTTTGAAGTACGCACGTTTTAGTGTTTTACAATTTTGGTTTTTATGGAATGGAAGGGGTTTTATTCATTAGAAGCAATTAAAGGGAGATACTGATTTGCTATTTTGGACTGATTGGCATCAGCAAACATTATAATTGAGGATCTGGATTTTAGAGTCCCTCACTGTCTGGTCGGTATTAGCAAAGTTTATCTCTTCTTCAAGGGCTATGAAGAGTAGGTGCCAAATTATAATGTGTATCCCAGGTGGCGGTGCTTAGTTTTTATCTCTTTTTACTTGTAGAGATTCAGTATCAAAACATTTTTTGTTTTATGGGTTCTTTGTGTCATTGTATGTAAATTTCATTTGAATTTTTAACCGCAAAAGACTCGTTTTTATGAGTGATCTTTTCTCCAACTTGGAATTCTGTCCTAGTGATTTGACTTAAGTTTGTGTCCAGTTGATATCATGGGGTAATTGTAACAGGGAGACAAGAATTTCAAATATCACTGATTAAGATCCACACGAAGGATCCTAAGGTAGTTTGGCTAGATTGGAGTTTCAAATATAGCTGACTAATTAATCTTGATTTGCAGGTTTGTAAGGAATTTCCGAGCTCTTTATTAGTTATTTGTAGCCATTTGAATGGTTTAGCTTTCGTTTGGAATCCAACCAAATACATCTTTCACAAATTTTAAGCATTTACTCAAATAGGCAATCTAAATTAAATGAAAAAAAAAAATGAAACTCAACAAACAACAAGCATAAGAGATGCAAGTGAGCCTACCCTGATTTGGGATGGTTCTGAGTCCGTCATACGAAACCAATTAATTGATCAGTTAGGGACGGGTATAGCCTGTCCTGAGTCAGACTTATAGAGGTGCAAGTGAGGTTTCCGACTTGAAGAATTTATACAACTCCCAACCTAGTCCATTCAAATTTTAACAAATGTTCAACTTGAGCCTACCCTAATGAAGAAACAGACCCAAAGTCTCAGTTTAGGAGTATAAATACAAATATGTAGAGTGTAAAATCTTATATTTTATATCTATTTGTATTTGTACTTTTTTCAAATTGAGCCTAAAGTGAAAAATTAAGGTTGCATTTGGAAACAATGCAAATAAGTGTAAATACAAATCTGCAGAGTGTAAAACAGTTCATATAAATTGTAAAAGTTGGATTAGTTTTACATGATAAATTTATCTTATTGCCAAATAGAGCCTACCCTAATGGATGTAAACACGAATTCCAATAAAGCATATGCCTTTTTTATCAAAAGACCAATTGAATGGAAATTTACTTCTTTTATTAATGTACTTTTATCAATATAAATCTGCATTGAAAAATGTATTTTCTGTTATTTGTCAATGCAAAAATGTAATGTTGCCAAACATAAACAAAAGTGAACCAGAGTACAAATTTACCCGAGATTTACACTCCATTTGCATCATTTTCAAACACAGCCTAAAGAATAAATTAAATATTTGCATCAATAAAAAAAGAGTGAATTAGATATGTGATATTAAAGAAGGCCATCTAACTTTCAACTATAATCACACAGAGACCTTTGGCTTTGAGTAATGTTTCTTCTTTTCTATAGAGTTGGTGTCGAAACATTCTTCTTTTCCTTAGAGTTGGTGTCAAAACATTCTTCTTTTGGGCTTAGATTAACATTCAGTAATCATATTCATTTGAGCTGTTCTATAAATATTTAAAACCACTGTTCTACCTTTCTATCCGAAAAAGCACTATTCCACCTACTTAATTAGAATCAGTCAAATGGATTGTTAGTTGACATGATGGTCAAGCCTATAAATCTAGGGCGTTTGGTATAATAGTGTTGCATTTACATTCCGGTTTATGCTCCACATAAACTCTGCATAGTCAATTTGACCTTTAGGCTGTGTTTAATGCAAATAAATTTGCATTGACGCAAAACCGGCTATGGCAGTGTAAATGATTTGAACGTAAATTTCGACCTATTTTTGTTTTAAATTTTAACTTATTTTGTTTGATTATAATAGAAATGAAGTAAATTAAAACATGAAGGAGAATAAAGTAAAATCCAAAACAAAATAAATATTCGCATTTTTTTACCATTGCACTCCCATGCATTTGTATTAGTACAAATAAATTTACATTGCAACCAAACACAGCCTAATAAAAATAATATTTGGTAGAGCGATTTCAACTAGAAGTGGGAACAACATGCTTGCATTAGGTTTTGTAGAATCCAAATAGGAGCATCGAAACTGCTGTTAACATGCACTTGTGTAGGAGAGGCAACGGGGAGGGGACAAGGTTATCCCCACCCCGTCTCCATCCCCGCTAACGGGCACAAGGTTATCCCCCATCCTCGTGGGGATTCTCACTCCTTGTGATTTTTTTATAATGTCAACCATTTTTTTTTATTTTTTTTTTTATTTAAAAAAATAAAAATAAAATAATTGAAAATTACATTCATATTAGAAAAGATTCAACCATATTATTTTTAAAATATTAATATATAGGCGCATGTATAGATATATACATATATAAATGTATGTGTATATATATACATATATTAGCGGGGGTCAAGGTCCCCACAGGGGGGGAGTGCTCCCCTCGTTTTTGCCCCATCCCCATCCCTACGAGGAAAGATCGCCCCCATCCCCGGCCCATTCGGGGTGGATCCCCACGGGGATCAAGGAAATGGGGAAAATTGCCATCCCTATTTCCGTGTATTGCAGGTTATGTAATCAATCACAAATGAACCTACCAATATTCCATGCACTAACATGTGGGTTTCATGTAGAGGTGTAAATCGGGCTGTATCAGGCACGAACTTGGATCAGCTCGACACGATGGTGTGCGAGTCGTTCCAGGCCCGACACGACCATACGGGCTGTGATAGGCCTAGGATTTTAGGTCCACATGCCGTGCCGCCCGCGGCCCGCGAGCTGACATAGTCCAGCCCGCAGCCCGGCCCAACACGACCTATATATATATTTTATATATATTATAATTAATAAAATAAATATTTTTTTTTATTTTAATATACTAATTTATTTAATTATTGCATATATAAGCAATTTTATGCACACAATTCATATAAAATTAAAATTTTAAGTTTTTTTTGTCAATTTTTTAAATAAGTAACTTTGGCCTGATACACGTTCCAACCCGGCCTAAAGCTCGGCCCACGGGCCAGCCCGACCCGTGGCACGACATGGCACAGCACGGGCCCACATGGGTCGGGGCCGTGAGCAATGTTGGGCCGACCCCCAAAATTTTCTCCGAAGAGAGCGGCACGGCCCGCACTTTACACCTCTATGTACGTTCCACTATATTCACCAGTGATCAGTTATATACCCCATAATTCACCGTGGTGCAAGCAACAAATCCCAAGTGTCCAAAAAGTATTCTGTTAACTTGTCCTACATGACAACTAGGACTTGTTTGTTTTTACTTGCCTTGGTAAGTATATTTATCAGGGCAAGTATTTCCCACGTAAAACTTACCCGGAGAAACAAGTTTCCAGCATTCTTGTACACTACCGGTTATCTGAGTAAGAAGGAGAGAGAGCGCTTATGGGCTTCAACAAAGGTGTGGGTAAATTATTTTCCCACCTTGCAGGATATCAGTTACTCGCGTAATTGATAATGTTAAGTATCATCATTTCCATGAAACCCAATATAGCGGTAAATGAACAAGGGTATTGTGGTCAACTTATTGGTTGACCAACTTACCCCGCTAAATAATGGAAAATGAGCGGGTACTAATGGTATCTAAATTTTTGAAATATCTTAATACCATCATGCTCCCGATTTCTACCCTAAATACCATCACCATTGGTCGAAATGCTAATGGCTTCAAATCGACCCGCCAGGGCCTGCAGCCTGATCTCATACGACTCTCATCCGGTGCGTTCATCTTCACCTACCCACAGTACGCTCAAGTATAAATAATAGGTAACTGCCCCTTAAAGGGAGTTGGAAAAGAGAAACTCCAACATCACTCACTCATTTACTCCCTGCACCAACCTTGTCTTCTTAGCATTAATTCAAGGTGATCCGATGCATCTGAGGACTCTCTCCAAGTGCTCTCATGCACCCTCACCTACTCTACACCTCGTACTAACTTGAGCGTCGGAGCCTCTGCCTCGGGTATCCACCCCGAGACCTCTAACACTCCCTGTCTTGCAGTATCTTTGGTCACCACGGTCTTTGCCTCAACTTCCAATCCTCAAAAGGAATACTTCGCCTCAGCTTGCGATTCTCAACTTCAGTCAATCTTTTTCAAGGCCCCGTGGTCCTCGGCCAACACTTGGAACCTGAAGAGTGAATTTACTTCATAGCCCCCGGCCAATTCGCGTGGCAACAATTGGCGCCATCTATGGGAACTTGTCGCTAAGACGACACCCACTTTAGGATAAAAAGTAATAATACTCTAAACCCAAACCCCCCTAGAGCTCGAAAGTCATGGTGAGGAGAGCCAGGAATAATCAGAACCTGCTCACCTACGAGCAATTTCAGGCCATCCACGATCGTTTGGACCGCCTCACCCAACGAATGGAGGAAGTTTGCCCTCGAGCAAGAGGTGTCAGAAGATCATTGCCCCACTAGGGTGTCAGAAGATCAGGACCAACACGAGAACGTCGAGCCACCAGCCCTCGACCACGGTAATCCGCTAGCCGAACCATCGGAATCGGGCAATAACCGCCTCCCGGACTCACCTCGAAGGAATATATGTCCTCCTAGCTGAAGGGAATGCGAGCCCGCCCAATCCAAAGACAATCATCAATCTTCAGAGCAGCACCACCGCCGCCATAGGGAGGCCCCCCGGGATGATGGCGGGGACCTCGGCCGCTCTGGAGTTCGCTCCCTAAGAGAGAGGCGACGTCACCCCACCCCACCTCTTGTCTTAGATCTTAGGGATGTTTTGAAAGATAGTCGCGCCAGCAGAGGAGCGTGCAATCCTGTCTCGGAGTATTCGGGAGTCTGGGCCGACACCCACTGGGTCCGCGAAAACATAAACGGGGCCCATGCCCGTATTGACCTTGGGCTTGCCGAGTTGCGAGCCGAAATTGGGGCCATCAAGGACGAGCTCCACCAGGTTAAGGAGCGCGCGATGTATTCACCACGAAAATCATCTTGGAGACTCTTCCCTCACACTTCAAGGCTCCCACACTGGAAGCGTACGACAAAAGCACTGACCCCGATGACCACCTAGAGGGTTTCACAGCGCTCATGATAGTATACGGCTACTCCGATGCCATAACGTGCCGGACCTTCCAGGCCATCCTCA